TAAAATTTAAATCATTTATTAGTTGTACTAACCACATTTCAGACACTCAGTAGCAGGGGTCCTCAAACTACGGCCCGCGGGCCACATGCGGCCCGCCGAAAACATTTATCCGGCCTGCTGGGTGTTTTTGCCGCCGCTGTGTGCATAGGAATTTGTTCATAGTTTTTTTTTAAACTATAGTCCGGCCCTCCAACGGTCTGAGGGACAGTGAACTGGCCCCCTGTTTAAAAAGTTTGAGGACCCCTGCTCAATAGCCACACATGGCTGGTGGCTACTGTATTAAACAGCACAGATAGAGTATTACTAGCATCACAGACAGTTCTTTTGAACAGATCTTAACTTAAATTCTTCTGATTATATATTCCATTGTGGTTATTGCATCGCTTTTACCTAATCCTTTACAAAAGTAAGGATTTGGGGAATTAATGATAGCTAAATTACAATTGAAATCCCCATTTGCATTTATTTGCATTTTGAAATAAGCCATTCAGACCTATTGCCAGTTTTGTAGTCCAATACTAAACAACAAGTCTACAGGAGACTTTTTAAAATAACCAACGGCCTTTTAGGCTTTGAAACTTTAGCTTTTTTTAACATAGTATAGTGGATATTTGACATTATTTTTTTTTTCTTTATGGATTAACATATTACATATGTGTCCTTATTTAGCTTTTTGTTTGTTTGTTTTTTCATTTTGGTGAGACAGAAAGAATTAGGGTTTCTAAAAAAATTAGAAACCAATCTCTAGCCTTTGACCCTAGGTGAAATATTTATTTTCAGCCTCTTCGAAGTCAGTGTGCTTATAAAGGAATTTTATTAATACAGTATTTTGATATCAGCTAGTCTTCTTTGACTATATTTCCTTTTTAACTTCAAATTGTGCATCTCTTTGTATAAAGGTCCTGGGCTGTGTGTGTGTGTGTGTGTGTGTGTGTGTGTGTCCTTTCAGCTAATACTTTGTTCACATTATTTCTAAAAATGAATCTAAGCCTGTTCAGGATTTATAATGGATGCATTATTTGTATAGTAATTAACCAATATCTTTAAATAACTCTATTCTTTGATTAGGACTAAGTCTTTCTCATAGTTTTCAGAAGCATCTGAGGCCCGGTACACGAAATTTCATGCACTGGGGGGGGCGGGGGGGGGTGTCCCTCAGCCTGGCCTGCACCCTCTCGCAGTCTGGGACCCCTCGCTCCTTACTGCCGCTGTGCTCGCCAGCCATGAGCCCGGCTTCCTGCATTGAGTGCCTGCCCCCTGGTGGTCAGTGCAGGTCAGAGACCGGTCGTTCTGCCATTCGGTCAATTTGCATATTAGGGTTTTATTATATAGGATAACAATTTTTGTGTGATTGTAAAATTATACCTTTTATAAATCAGTCTGCATCAAGACAGGTATGCCAATTTCAAATCATTTTTAGAATTTAAAAATTCAACCATAGTAATTGTATCCTTCAAATGCTAGAATCTGAAAATATCTGAAGTTCTAACTCTATGTACATAAACAGTTGTCATTTTATTCTGTTGAAATGATAAACTAAAAATATTATCTATAGATTCCCTAAGGTTATTTCAATGAGTTTTACCAACTACCAGAATCACTATCATTGGGACATAATATGCGCACCTTAAATGCAGCAATGTCATGCACAGTTAGAATGGAGGCAAATGAGATGTGAAAGACAGAATAAGGGAAGCCAAAGGGTTAAGATTTGACATCATTGACCCAACATAGAATAGCATGGAAGTCAATTCAGCAGATGCCTTCTGAATGATCTCCCTGTAAAAAGGACTATAAAAATGAGCAAAACCTAATTCCCTTCCTCAACGCTTCCTAACTAACAAATGTAATAATCTCTCTCTTAAAGAAAAATAATTTTTGATATCTCAAAAATGTACTTTATTAGATGAAATATTCCATTCTTTCCTCCCTTTAATCTTAACATTTTATCTGCTATTATTATTATGACTAAATAAATGCAGTTTGTCTTCCGTTAAAGAGTTCTCATAACTCACTCTCTAAAAATCTTTTTCCTGAACGAAGCACTTAGAGTAGAAAGAGAAGTATTTCTTCTGAAATCTAAAACCTTTTTTTTGCATCAATAGATCTTCCCATTTGCACAGTGGACTGAATAAAGATGTCTCTAATCATAAAGTAATGCAATCTTAAATCTGAAAGGGATTTAAGGGAAACCAGCAATCACTTAATAGGTGCAAAAACTAAGCTGTTAGGTGATTTGTCTGTCACAGTTAATAGAGCCCAGTCTAAACCCATTCTCCTGGACTTCAGTCCTTTATTTCTATTATCTGAATGTGTGTACACATTATAAAAGTCACACTTACTGTTCATAAATGTATTTTGAGTGATATGGTACATTCATTTTTTTAAAAAACATTTTCATTGAGGCCAATGTATAATGCATTTTTGTTTTGTTTATATTGGATTAATCAAAAGACTCCATTTGTTAGCCTCATACTTATAGACTTAGCCCAATTTAATTATATTCTACTTAGTATTTATATCACACCTCTCATTTTACAGACATTTTTTCCTTTCTTTATTGATTAAGGTATTACATATGTGTCCTTATCCCCCTATTGCCCCCCACCGCACTCACGTTCATGCCTTCACCCCTCCTGGTGTCTGCGTCCATTGGTTATGCTTATATGCATGCATACAAGTCCTTTGGTTGATCTCTCCCCCTTACCCTCACCCTCCTCTACTTTGCCTCTGAGGTTTGAGCATCTGATCGATGCTTCTCTGTCTCTGGATCTGTTTTGGTTCATCAGTTTATATTGTTCATTATAATCCACAAATGAGTGAGATCATGTGATATTTATCTTTCTTTGACTGACTTATTTCAATTAACATAATGCCTTCCATTTTACAGATATTTTGAATTGTATTTCCTTAAAGCCATTCAATAAATGTGAATTAAAATTTTTTTTTAGTAGGCCTTTTTTTGTACACTGATTATGTTTTCTAAGATCACTGATTTAAGGAGTAGTACTTCTGTTTCATATTGAGGAAACTGAGGCCCAAAAGAAAGGCTAAACATTAAGTACTGAAAATTGATGGTTCCCTAGGTTTGCATAACAAAATCCATGGCAAAGCTTTGCTACAACACTTTGTAAGACCAATCTATCATGAAGATGATGGTGATCTTGTGGTGCTTTGTATCTTCATTCCCCTATGCCAAGTATTGACCAGAAAGTTTGAAGAATAGAGTAGCAGGGTTGGAGACGGATTTATGTGTCTTAGAATTTATTTAAATTTGGCTTAGGATGAGATGGATATAGATTGAAGTAAGAAACCACTTATCTTTTGTTTAAAAAAGATAGGTCTCAGAATCTGATCCTTTAATCTCTCTCTTTGTTTTCACCAAATAATTTACCCTCTTTAACTACTCTGTGATTCCTTGAAAGTCAACACTAGTCTTTCCTTTTATGTAGAAAGTACACCTATGCGTACTTCTGATGTTGACTATCGACTTTTAGAGGCATCTAAAGCTGGAGACTTGGAAACTGTGAAGGTAAGTTAATGCTTTTAATGTCTTGAGTAGCACTCTTGAAGCTTTGCTAACCATTTCACTTTAAGCTTGTAAGTGAAACTACTCAAATCCAAACAATGAAAGGAATGAGCAGAATAGGTGCATAAACAAGAGAGATCTCTAACCACAAAAAGTTTCCTAGTATGTGCCTTACATTCATTAAACTCTTTTTTAGTCACTTTTCTTGTGGTTATGTGATAGCTCTTTTATTTTCACTTACATTAATTAAATTGTTACTTTTGGCTGCGTTCATAAATTTCTAAGCTAGTTCAAGCCCAGGTAGTAGTACAATAATGTTTAAAACATTGTTTCTTGAAGTTTTCCAAGAGATTCTCACATTGGCTCTGGGAAAGAATGATCCCGAAACCATTAGGACTTATTTATATGCAGAAGATGGGTTTTCCTTTTTATGTAACTCTGCTTGCTAAGAAAATTTTATCAACCTTTATTTGTGGTATAAACAATAGTTATAAATTTAATGTTTCGCAAATGAAAAGTATATTCTAATATCAAATATACTTTTAAAAACATACACACTTCCCATCTACAATTATTCATGTAGAGATGAAGATAGAAGAAAGGGATATAGTTTTTGGTTTTGTTATGTTTTGTTTTGTTTTTAAGAAAGGCCGATTGCAATATTGTTATTGCCAGTCATACCAGATTTTATTTTTCAAATTAAACTTTGTCACTTATTAATAAGCCAACTCTATTTTTGTGATTTTTAGTAAACTAATTATAGCACTCTTGATGACGTATACTATTTGAAAGTGACGGTACACACTTTTTAAGCTCTGTGACCTAGAAATTTTATTTTTGTTTTAATGTGTGGTCACTTTCAATCTTTCTTTCATCATATAATAACATCTAAGTTACTTAAAGAAAAATAGTAAATAAATAGCCACTGGAGAGAAAATTTCAAGTTCTCTTAGATCTAAAATTATAGTGTGTTTTTCTTTTTTTCTTAAAAATACTCTGTAATTTGAAGTGTATCCTAATAAAGGAAAATGTTTAAATATAAAAAATGATTAGGACTCCTTTTCTGTGTCACAGCATGGTAATCTCAGCACTAGAATTGCTAGATGTACCCATTATAATGAAATTAAAACTTTTTAAATGTAATAAATTAACAAAATTCCATTATCTTTTGTGTGTAAATACACTGCACCTTTCAGGTTTCCTAAGCAGTCTATTCACAATAAAGGACCAACTATATTTTTTTGAATGGAATCAAAAAATGGTGGAAGAAAAAGCACAAATTAAGTGAGAATTAGGCTGCATAAATTTCTTTCCCTAGAGGTTTTAGAAAGTATTAGAAATTAGATATTAGAAGAAAGGCTGTTTCCTGAGTAACATATTTGACATTATATAAAGCAGCTAGAAAGGATGTGAAATTGCTTTGCCATTCAAAAAGAAAGTAAAACAGACTAGAGAATAAAAAACTTACAAATATCGAAAAGCAAGTATTTAATAAGCAGAATGGGGTTTTATTTTTGTAACCTGGTAAAATGAGTTGTGTTAATCTTCATTTCCTCCCTCATTCCGATTTTGCCAGTCTTCTCTGGGGAGAAAAAAAAGTTAAATTAAAAAATAAGAACCAGAAGAGTAAGTGCTTCAGTCATGTAAGACACCACTGGTGTTTACTAGCAATTTTTGCAGCCTTTCTTTTTAGTTTATGTATTAATTTATTCGTTTTTATTTAATTGTATATTTTTATCCTCTAATTTATGTGTTAATGTAGCCACAGACTCACTTGTCATGAAAAGAGATGTTTGACCTGATCAGATGATCATGTTCTTCAGAAGTTAGAGGCTGGTGCTTTTCCATAGAGTCGATGCGATTGTAGGCTCTCCCTAATACTGCCCAGACTTGTTTCTGTCATGTAAAAATTGTACCGTCTGAAAAGTCCTGTTTTCACCCTACCAGTGTGAAAGCCCCTACTGAGTATATCAGTAGAAACAGGTTCTTCATTGTTAACCAGCCATGCACCAAAAAGATCAGGAGAACAGGGTCTGAGTCTTTACTACTCCTTACCAACCCCATGAAAAAGGATTTCACTTAACCTCACTGAGCCTTGGTTTATTTATAAAATGGAGATAATGATCAACTTCACAGATAGCAATTTACTGAAAGAATATGACATTTTTTGCAAATTGTAAATGATTGTTCCAATATCATTGTATTTCATCTGTCACCACTGGTGATGCAGCCTGTCAGCCCTTACTTTGCTTCTACTGCTTGTAATCAAGGAGAGTGGCGTTGGTACTGAAATGGTAACATTCAAAAGGAGAAAAGGAGGTAGAGGAGAGATTTGGAGGGCATAGCTGAAAGCGGTGGGAGTAAAACCAAAAATTAGAATACGATTAGAATCAGTTTGACTTGTAGAGTTAGACAAACATCCCCCAAAGATCAAGTAAAGCACTGTGGACTGCATGGCTTTGTTGGTTTTATTATATTTTTGTTTTGTTTTTTAAGAAAGGCCAATTGCAATATTGTTATTGGCAGTCATACCAGATTATTTTTTTTAAACTAAACTTTGTCACTTATTAATAAGCAAACTCTATTTTTTGATCAAAGGGCCAAGTGTGTGGCCCAAGCAGAATTAATACAGGTTTTCCAGAGCCTTTTTTCTTACCCCATCAGAGGAGACAAGAACTCTGGGTAACTCTGCCATCAAGTGGGGCTGCTCTTATTTGAGAGAAGAATGGCTAAGAGCATGCAAAAATGCTGTGACAAGCAGTCTTGGGGAGCAAACGCCTTAAAAGATGAAAAAGTAAGGCATCAGTTGCCTTGCAAATGCTTGCTTTATTATGGGTTTTTCCTTTTTATTAGGATTTTGTGAGAGTCAATTGCTCTGTAAATAGTAAGAATATTTTTAGACATAGTACTGATTTTTAAACATCACTTGTATTATCTAATCTTTGGAAATAAGTATTAGAAAATTACAAGTTATCCAGATACCTGTAGTATTTTGGAGCAAAGTCTGTGACTAAATGTTAATGTTCTTCTTATGTTTGTCTGTGTGTATGTGCCATAAAAGCAACTTTGCAGCCCTCAAAATGTGAATTGCCGAGATCTAGAGGGCCGGCATTCTACACCCTTACACTTTGCGGCAGGCTATAATCGGGTGTCTGTTGTGGAGTACCTTCTACACCACGGTGCCGACGTCCATGCCAAAGACAAAGGGTATGTGTTAGAATCCAACTGTTTGGGATTCGTTCTTTAGAGACTTAAAAAAAGTATTTTAATATTTTTTTAGGTCTTTGATTGTTTTTCCTATTTAAAAAAAGTAATGCAAGTGTTTTAAAGTTTAACGTATAAACTAAAACATAGAAATGTATAGTATAGAAAGTGAAAATTCACCTCTTAGAGATTAATTACAACATTAAAATTTTGTTGTAATACTCCCAATTTTTTAAATGCATGTACTAGTGTGTATGCTGCTGTGGGGGTTTGTGGTTGTTTCTAACATAAATAATGTCATTCCAGACGATTTGCTTTGCAATTTCCTTTTTTCATCTAGTAGTATATCTTGAATATCTTTCCATATCAGTATTTAATAGTTTATCTCATCCTTTTAATGCCTATATATAGTATGAATGTGTTTATATAGTTTGTAATTTATTGTTTAACCCTTGTTTTGCCATAAAAAATGTATAATCTCTTCCAAAAAGAAGCCATCCATCCCAAAGTCATCAGTATTAAAATAGAAACATTTTATTTTTTTACTAATTCACATCTATATTTTTATATTAGTTTGCTAAATTATTTCTGTTTATCTAGACAGAGTTGTGTTATTTTTTAAATATATTTTTATTGATTTCAGAGAGGAAGGGAGAGGGAGAGAGAGAAAGATAGAAACATCAATGATGAGAATCATTGATTGGCTGCCTCTTGCATGCTCCCTACTGGGGATTGATCCCACAATCCCGGGCATGTGCCCTTGACCGGAATAGAACCTGGGACCTTTCAGTCCCCAGGCTGACACTGTATCCACTGAGCCAAACCAACTAGGGCTAGACAGAGTTTTTAAAGCAACCATGAAAGCTATTTAGAAATGCAAGAGGAAGTTTTAATTGAAATGAGCTTCTTCTGAGTTAATTTCATATCATCTCAAAATATAAATAAGTAAGCACATTTCTATGCAATACTATAGAATTAAACCATACAACTTAAACTTCAATTAACTGTTATGGGACACATCAGACATAAGTATTCAGTAATAGTATCACTAGCTCTTTCAAAGTATTACAGTGTACGGAGAGCAACATTTGTTATTATTGCCCATTTTAGCACTTAGAATTTTGATCTCAAAACATTAAAAAGAAAAAAAAAAGGATGATCTCTAAATAAAAAGGCACTTGTACCTAGTTTGTTCAATGTCTTAAGTGCAACTTAAACTTACCCTTTTGATGCACCCTTTTTTATGGGAACATTTTTGGTCCCTTTAGACTATCAGCTGCCTTCTCATCAAAACTTAGAGTCATCTCAGAATAGTTTGCTCATAATAAGGCAGCTAGATTTTCTCATCTGACTGGAGTTTGTGGTTCACACCATTATTTTCTTTAACAAATACTTAAGTTTCTCTGTCACTTAGATTTTGAGTTTTCATTGCTTGGCACCTAAATATTTAAACTGTTACACAAAAAACATAAAAATAAAAACCAAAACCTAACGGTAGAATTTGCCTAAATAAATAACCTAATTGCATTGTACATTTTATAATATTGCAGTGTTATCGTTAGGAAAACCCAAATGGAAGAAAATTTGAGAGAGGATAAACCAAATTATTGAGTAGTTATTCCTAAAATCACTTTGTAGTGTTGCTTCATATTGCCAGGATGAAACCTAAATGAAAAGTGTTGTGATGGAGGCCCTGGCCAGTTAGCTCAGTTGGTTAGAGCATCATCCCAATACACCAAGGTTGCCAGTTCCATCCCCACTCAGGGCACATACATTGATTCTCTCTTTCTCTAACTCAATAAAATAAAAAGAAAGTATTGTGATGCAACCTTTTTCTCTCTGTGTGTGTGTGTGTGTGCGCGTGCGTGTGTGTATTTCAAGGATATATGTATTTTAAGGATAAGGATTGCTGAATTTATATCCTTCACTAAGAAACTATGGAAAGTCCTTATATTGAAAGGGACATTTTAGAAATTATTAAGCCTCACTTGGAAATGGATGACTATATCTTCAAGACCAGAGGAGAATTTTCTAAGTGAGTCTGTAGTATGGTCAATGCCATAGAAGAATTTCATTATTATTTTCATAATTATTTTAACTCAAAAGATTTGTCATATGTCTTAAAAATAATTTTTTTCTGTTTAGTGGCCTGGTGCCCCTTCATAATGCTTGTTCATATGGACACTATGAGGTAGCTGAGCTTTTAGTAAGGCATGGGGCTTCTGTCAATGTGGCGGACTTATGGAAATTTACCCCTCTCCATGAAGCAGCAGCTAAAGGAAAATATGAAATCTGCAAGCTCCTTTTAAAAGTACGTAATTTTAAAAATTATAAAGTATAAAGTAATTATATTTATTTTTGGTTAGTATATAAAATTACATCAAGGTAAATTCTGTTATGTACAATAAGTGCTATAGAGACGCTTCCACTTTCCTTTTTAGGAGGATGTTTAAGTGTGGTATCATGATACTTACATAGCTTTGAGTAGTGTCTGAAGTGCCTTCTGAACTGATTTGATTAAGTTCAGATAATTACAGCTCATCAAGGTAGGTTTTGGAAAGAGTTGAATTAGTTTGCATTGCTTATCTAATACTTATAATATTGATATCAGAAAACATTTGTACAAAGAAAAACAAGTTTTTTTTATCAAGTTTGATTTTTTTTACTGGCTATTTTATTGTTAAACTCCTCATTATTAAACGTTATTTAATATATCTTATAAAAACTTTATTTTAATATCAGATTTTAATTAAAATGTAAGGTAATCTCTAAACAAAGTTATTCATATAAATTTTTGGTATATATATGAAATAGTAGAAACTAGTAGTTATGTGAAACTAAATAATTTTGTGTTCTTTTTAAAGGATGTGAAAAATGACCGGACATGTAGTTCGTTCGTTCTCTCTCTCTCTCTCTCTCTCTCCCTCTCTCTCTCTCTCTTTTTAACTAGAGAAAAACTTGTCCTGGGTTAAATATAAATAAAATTCTTCTTCCACCATTCTTATGGCATCAAATATATTATTATGAGTATTGAGAATAACACTGTATTTGATGCACATTTCTATTATCACTGGTTAGTAAGTAACTGTGAACTCATTGTCTAGCTTGTATCTTTCAAATTTCTCCAGTGGGCCAATAGCAGACTGTCATAATAAAGATTCTTGACTTTTATTTACTTTATTTCATAGTATATATGATAAAACTCTTAAAAGCAAATTAATTGTTAATATATTTATACCTCATTTTATGATAGATGTTAAGACTTATAATAAAAATATTTTAAAATCACCAAATTTTCTTCTGCATTTAGAATTAAGTACTTTTTCTACCTGTGTGTGTTCCTCTTTTTACTTCTTTTTCATGCTATTCATTGAATAT